TCAAATATTTTGATCCTGACACACAAACTTTAGAGTAAGATAAATTTTATGTTAATTATGAAGCTCTGTATATATAAATATAAATATATATATATATATGTGATATTTACATATTCTATCTTATAGAGGCCTTGGTCATCTATATATACAAAAGTTTGGCAAACTTGTCGACTATATTCGCATCCTTTGTGAAAAAAAAGAGTTTCCTCCAGATACTCAATTGAAAATTTATGAAGCAAGCATATTAATTGTTATAATTTGTTTTGTAATGTTATAGATTTCTTTTATACTTATTATATGTGTTTTTCAATATAGGAAATCAAACCAAACATGATTGAAGAAATGAAACTCAAATCCACTTTCCAACAATCCGAGATACAAGATGGTGATATAATTGTTTTTCAAAAGGCGTTAACAGATAAAGAGTATGCATTATAAATTATTAAGACGATTATGTTTTATTTCATATTAAGACAACTTTAATATTTTCCTAGGATTCAAGAGCATTCATTAGCTGGTCGAATTCATAACATTATTCAATTCTATGAATCATTGACTTTACGTATTGTTGTTTCATTCAAGCCAAAATTGAAAGATCGCGATCCAAAACCTGAATTCGACTTAGTTTTAAATAAAAAGTGGACATACGATCAGGCATGTGATTCCTCCTTATTAGTTAAATATAATTTATAATTAATTTACACCTTTTTAATATTCTTTAACAAAGGTTGCCGAACAAGTCGCTGCTCATTTGCGCACGGATCCTCTTAAATTACGATTTACCACTGCACATTCAACATCTGGTACACCAAAGAATGTAATTAAAAGAACTACCAATCAGACCCTTTCGGAGATGCTTCAAGCATATTTGACACCATCATCTCATCTCTTATTCTACGAGATGTTGGACATAAGTATTGTAGAACTAGAAACGAAAAAGTTCTTTAAAGTTACTTGGCTTGGAAACACTGTTAAAGAGGAGGTATTTTGTTTTTTATCAATTTTTATTTATTCATATCTTTTCCATTTTCCATTTTGAGTGTTAGTTTTAAAAAAATTTAATAAATTAATCTTAGGAGCACAAAATCGATATCCGTCTTCAAAAAAATGCAGTTGTTAATGATATCTTGGAAGAGATTTTAAAAAAGGTGACATTATCATCACCAAATGCTAGAATCAGGTTATATGAAGTTATGAATCATAGAATTCAAAGAGAATGTATAGGAACTGAACCAATAGAAAAGATACAAGAATTTATGACGTTATATGCAGAGGTGAATTATTTATAAATAATTATTTTAACGTTAAAACTCGTATACTGTATAATTCTTCGTTTTAATTATTTTTCATGTAAAATATGAATTATAGGAAATACCTCAAGATGAACTTCTTGCAGACAACAATGATCGAACTATTCAAGTGTATCATTTCACAAAGGAACCGCTTCGTACACATGGGATTCCATTCAAATTTGTTATTAAACATGTAATTTTATTATTTTTTGACTTTGAATAAATGTAGATATCCTGATATATAATATATTGCTTTTTATTTAATGTTATAAACAGGGTGAAGTTCTCGTTGATACTAAGCGACGTCTTCTAAATCGGCTTGGTATGAGCGAAAAGGATTTTGCGAGAGTAAGGATTGCAATTGTGCCTGGAACTTCATATTCAAAACCCGAATATCTCGAGGATGATGGTAAGGATAAATTTATTTTGATTTCGCTTTATATTTCATTTATATTGTCTTTTTAATTGAATGTAATCTTTACTAGATATAATCTTATCGGAAAAAAGATTATCGAATGATGATTATTTAGGGCTTGATCACGTAGATAAGACTGGTCGCGCAGGGAGGGTTGGAGGTGCAGAGAAAGCCCTTTACATTAGAGGCTAATATATTCGATTACATTATTTTTTTTTTTTTTACTTTGTAATATTTGTCATTTAAATTGTAAAGAAAAGGATTATTGTAGAGTGGAGATATATAAAGAGAGGAAAAGAAAAAAAACTCGTTTTTGTTAAAACGTTAAGATATAATATATACTTATAATGGGAATTATTGAGTTTTATTATCGACTTGTTAATTGATACACGAAATTATTATTTTTTTTTAAAGAATCATTCATATTGGTTGTAAAGTTTGTAATTGTTTTTTCGAATTCTTAATTTAGAAGTTTTTATTCATCATTACATGGATATAAATGATTACTTTTTATACTTTTTATTTGAAATAAAGGTGTTCGAAATTAATGATCAATATATATATATTATTTATAAATGATTATATATTTAAAACTTCTATTTATAACAGATATTATCATAAAAATAAAAAAAAAATAGATATAACCTTTATAAATTTATACCATATCAGATTTTTTATTTCTAACTCTTTGACGCCAATCTCCTTTAATTGGCTCTAAATTAGGATTATTTGCTGCTTCTCCGGATTCTATTTGTTCTTTAATCCAAGATTCAGGATCTAAAGAATTAATTCCATGTTGATGTTTTTTTACTTCATCCCAATCAGTATTGGAAAGAAAATCTTCGGCTGCTTTCCACTTTTCAACAAGCGTTGCCTATTTAATTAAAAAGAATATATAAATCGATTTATTTAACTTTATAAATAATATATCATAAGTATGAATAACCAAATACCATTTTTTTATTCTTGAATCCAGATATCAAAGGCTCTTTTTCCTTTTTCCGTTTCTTTTCGCTTGCAATTTGTACTCCCTGATAACTGACATTATATGATCCAAACGATTTAGTGATTCCATCATCTTCAGAATATTCAGATTTCTTGTTAACATCCAAATCACCCACAGCATCAGGATGTGGAGGCGGTGGAGGCGGTAAAGATGGTAAAGGTGGTAGGTTTAGTGTAGATGAAGTAGATGAAGTTGACGTGGAATGAATATTTTGTGAAATTTGATATTGCTCATGACCTACGGATAAAGCAGGAATATAATGCGTAATTGACGATTGTGACGCAACATAAGCGCTAGAAAAATCTGACTACTAAAAAACACATCGTTTGTTGAATGATTATTAAGACTTGTATACAAACTTTGACTCGGATAAGTTGATGAAACTTGATTCTAATTATACATATGAATATAAACATGAATATATGTGTATATATATAATAATTGATGATTATAAATATCATAAATGGACTAAGTTACCGTCTGTAAATGTATCCAATTGTAAGCTTGCGTTTCAGGTTTCCATTTACAAACCCATCCAGTAGGTGAAAGTTGTTCTTTTATTCCGATAAAGAAAAAGTTCTTATATAATATATACTGTCAGAAAATTGAGAAAGATCTAATTTGTTTAAATATAATTAATTTACCTTCGACTCCTTGCAATAATCTCTCTAATCCTTCAAGAATAACCTTTTCAAAATATTGAGAATTCAAAGCTCCAATTTGCCAATCGTGCATTCTAGTAGCAAATTCGATTTGATGTCTTTCAAGCTTCAAATGAGTTACAACAGGTGCAAGGTTTGAAAGTCTACTATAAGCACCATGTGAGCGTCCATGCAATGGTGAATCTGATGGAGGAACTTTAAGAGACATTTTTTGAGTAGAATTATCCTTGAGAGTTTTTGTTTGAGAATCCATTTCGGTTTCAGTATTAGATTCTTTCAAATATAAATTCAAATTATTCATTTCTTTGAAAGTACTTGACGCCAAAGAACTGTCTGAGCTTATATGTTGTATTTCGTGCTCCCATCGTGTTTCTCCTGTCTTTTTATTATAATAATAATGACATTTATTTTCGTTGTGCCAATATTTTTCCCAATCAAAATCAAAATTGGAAATTTGAATCGATGTTGATTCTTTTTCACTTTCTTTGAATTCATCAATCGGAACTAGAGGATCGTTATTAATTGATGTAACAGGCAAGGCATTGATTTCTGACATGAAACTTTTCAAAGCTTCTTCAATGCTATCTTCTGATTGATCGATAATTACCGAAGATTTTTCCGGATCAGAATAGGAATAAACTGACGGGATTGAGGGCAAAGGAGGAGGAGTTGGCTTCGGACTGTCCTTCGCTAGAACAGAATCGGTTTGAGGATTTGCTTCGTTTGGTTCCTCTTTTCAAAAACGTTTATCAGTCATTTCTTGTTCAATAACATTAACCTCACTAATCCCAATACACCACCAACTCACGAAGATCTTGTTTATCGCCAACCGGTTTATTATCTTATTTTCTGTTGTTATTTTTTTTTTTTTTTTTTTTACTATAACTTTTTCATTTTTTTTTTTTTTTTTTTTTTTTTTGCAATTTATATAATAAAAAAAAAAAAGTTGATTGTTCTCAAGAATTGCTAAGCCTACCAAGCTGTGATTTTGAAACTTGTTCCTCATTATCTTCCTCACTATCGCTATAATCGCCAAGAAGTCCTTGTAATACGTTTTTTGATTCTTCTTGTTTTCTTGCTTCATCAGCAGCTAATTTTATATTAAAGTTTGTCAGTAAGGTTTTTATTTACTGTGTTGGTTAAAAAATCCAATCAGTACCTTTATTTTTTGCTCGAATGAAAGAAATTGGCTGATCTAGTTGTAATAATTGCCGTCGTCTTGTAGCGTCTCTTCGTTCCATGGTGTAGTATTTTCCATAGATTAAAAAAGATTAAAACTAAACTCAATCCAATTTTAGAAAGAAGAATTTCTGATCTATTAAATAGAAATCACGTGATAGTATTAACTAAATAAAGGAATTGTGCACGGTTGCTAAACCGGTTGAATATACTGTATTAAAGTTTTGTGGCGTTAGATTAAAATGAAACCGGAGGGATGGATTTTATCCGCGCTACTTTTTCTTTGCCTATAGTATTGAAAATTCTAAACATCTTTCGGGTGCATTTATTTTTTTCGTTAGGCAAATTTCGTGACAAAAAACAATTACCGATGGTAACGATCAGCATACCAAAAAAAAAGGCACAAAAATTTTTTTTAATGCCAAAGAACATCACGCCATGAAAGCTTAAAGCCCAATTGGGCGTATTAAACACGAATTCTGATTTACTAATAAGGCTAAAAGGTAGCATAAAAAAGTAATGAAAATTCTTGAACCAAAAATGAGCGGATACATAAAAAAATGATGAAAATATACCTTGCGAGGAGTCGCTACCGTTTTCGGTTGGAGTATATATATTGTTTTCATTATTAGTGAAATAGGATGGAAGCTTCGCAATATATTCTTTTACGAAATTCTGCGATTGATAATTAGCAAACCATGAAGTTGATAATTTTAGCAACTAACAATAATACCGAAAGATCATAAATATTTACCTTCAAATTTTCTACTTCGTATAACGCATTTTCAACCAAACGAAGGCTAATATTACTTTTTGGAATTTCAAATTCTCCCATCTAACACATTCTGTATACAGCATCATACGGACATGCTAAACTGACTAGATAAAAGCGTTCAGAAAAAATATATCCAGAAAGCGACATACCAATTGCATGAATTCCAAATACAGCCATATCTAATTCGATACCTTTCTCTTTATACATATTATCTAGCGAGTCTTTCATTATTGTACATTATGATAATATAAATTAAATTTTATGATATCCTAAATGCGTTAATGTCTGAATGCGATATTCCAAATGAGAAGATCGTTTAAGATATTCGCTTGCCCTAAATGCGCATTTATCCCAAATGATCATTTCGGATATCAAAATGCCAATGTAAAGTTTGTTTTCATTTTTATTTACAATTTAATAAAAATAAAGTTTTATAAATAAAAAAATATTAAAAATAAATAATTTAAATTTGCCATTAATTTCAAATCATTAGTGATCATTAGGACAGTCTGAAATGAGTCCAAATTGATCTTTTGGGACATTGTCTGAAATACGCATTTGGGATATCTGAAATGAGCATTTGAGACATTATCCAAAACGTGCATTTGGAACATTGTCCGAAATGTACATTTGGAATAAATGCGCATTTGAGGCAAGTAAATATCCAAAACGATCTTTGCATTTGGGATATTCCAAATGCGCATTTTAGACATCAATGCATTTGAAATACAACATACAAATATTATAATTTATTTTTACTACATAAATAATATTTTTAATCTTTTAAATTTTAAGTAAATTTATAGGATAGGCATATATACAGAATATACACTATACATAATAAGAGGAAAAAGAGAAAGTTGCTAAAAAAAAAAATTTTTGAATTAATACTAAATCTAAACATATTCATTGTAAAAATGATATTTAACATGTAAAATAAATTTTATAGTTTTTTTCTTTTCTATTACTATATTCTAAAAAAAAAAATGCATTAAAAATGAAACATAATTTTCTATAGTATGACTACAACCTAAGATGCCCTACGAATAATATTACCGGGAACATTTAATGTACGTGAAAAAAAGATTTAAACCAACAGAATACATAGTAAAATAAATCAGATGGTGTGACAAATTGTGTTAATCATGCGGGGTACTTACAGTAATTTCATTTCTTTGATGATAATTTATTAGCTATTTAAAAAAAAAAGTCAATTAATTTATGTCACCCTGCTCTTGTACCCAAGCTAAATATTCTGTGTGTAATTTCTTTTGTGCTTCCCATTCTTTTTTAAATTTCTTAATTCTATTTTTAGGAAGCTCTTGTCCTTGTCCATCGAGTGTTGGTATTCCCTTAGTAGAATAAAAGAAGTTTAATTCGATTTGTAAATAAGATTTATTATAATTACGTAACCTTTACCTGTTCATCAAATGCGGAATAAGCATTTTCTCCATCCTCTCCTTTTACATCCTTGAACATATCCTCAGCAGCTAATTTACCTTTTTCCAGTCGTTTTTGTCTCTCTTCTTCCTTGGCTTTTGCAGCAGCTTCTTTTTTTGCCGCTTTTTCGGCTTGAACTTTCAGTTTGTCTTCTCTTGCTTTAATAAGTTCATTCTTATCTACAAGCTTTACTAAAGCTTTACCATCTTCCTGATCGTCCAATGATACACCTAACTCAACTAAATCTATATCTCTTAATTTATCACTTAATGCCAAAAATTCACTGTGACTCTTTTGTTGCCTAGCAAGATTGCGAACATTGTCACGAAAACCTGATAGAACCCTTAGATATGGAAGGACAATATCTTCCATCTATAAAAGATTCTTTATAAGCCATATGATAAACTAAATTATTTTACCAATTAATTAAGGCAAACTTACATTTCCAATATTTTGTTGCTGTGATATTCCAAAACCAATCTCTTCAAATGCGGGATTTTCTGTAACGCCAAAAATTTTTAAAATTCTTGTAACATATTTTGCAATGTTTTCAAGTACATTAGCGTTGATATTATTTCTTCCGCTAGATAAGTAAATATTGGTCCTGTTTATTAGTTCCATTAGTTCTGACATAGCGCTTGGAGTATTTATTGAATCGCATAGAGCTTCATGAATCGTTGTCTGCTTTTCACGAAGGCTATTTGAGGAAAAAAAACATTTTATAAATTTTTTATAGTAGTTTTGATTATAAAATATTAAGTTACAAACAGATTTATTATTTCTCTTTCGGAACTACGGTATCGGTGCGTTCCATCGGAACCATAAGCGTTATGCTTACGTTCATTTAAAAAGGCTTTGGTATTGACAAAAAAATTCTAATGGAAGAAATCATTGTTTAACAAAAATTAGTATTTTTTTTTTTTTTTAAAAAAAAAAAAAAAAGTATAAAATAAAAATGAAAAGGAAATTATTAAATACATTCAAAATTGTTTCAATATTCTTGACCTCATCAAAGATGTTTTCTTTAAAATCGAGTTTAGAATCCCATTGTTGAAGTAGGAAGCATAACCTCAATTGCCTAGGTGTATATTTCTTCAATGCTTGCTACATTGTCAAAATCACGGTATTAATTTATATACAATATTCGGGAACACAGAATCATATTATTGGAATCTCACCTGAATTGTGATAAAATTCTTTAATGACTTGCTCATTTTTTGACCTTCGACATGTAAATGTCCAACATGAAGAAAATAATTAACCCATTGTTGACATTCATGGTAAGCCTATCGATGATGTTAATCACGTAAAAAATGTTAATAAAATATTGGCAACTATTATATGCTATTACAACTTACTTCAGATTGTGCTAATTCATTATCATGATGTGGGAACGCTAAATCAATTCCTCCAGAATGGATGTCCATATTTTCTCCAAGAATTTCACTTAAGTTCCCAAAATAAATTAATTGAACTTATAAGTAAAATCAATAATATGTAAAAAAAAATCAAACATGTAAGCATGACGAATATACCTAGCCATCACCGAACATTCTATATGCCAACCAGGTCGTCCCTAATTTAGAAAAAATGTTATAATAATTATGTGGAAAAATGTAACCTTTTAAATATTTTATACTCACTGGTCCCCAAGGAGACTCCCAAGATGGTTCGCCGGGCTTACTTTTTTTCCATAAAGCGAAGTCACACTTGTTTTTTTTGCCTAGTAATTTGCTTCCTAAACTACCTTCACCTTCTTCGATTAATCCCTCGTTTCCAGCAGACCACGGTTGCAATTTGGCATAATGATGATCTTTTTTAGCATCAAATTCCTTTGTATCGAAATAGACCGATCCATCCGCTACATAACCATAACCGTTTTCAATTATTTTTTGAACATATGCTACTATTTCAGGAATATATTCGCTAACGCGAGTTAAAATATCACATGGTCGAACCTAACAATGTGATTTATATAAGAAATTTGGAATGACTTGAAAAAAAGCAACAATCTGTTCTTACATTTAATAATTCCATATCTTTCATAAAATCTTGCTCCCAATAAGCAGCCAAATCGCGAAAAACTTTTTGATCTGTCACAGTAGTACCTTTCTATTAAACATAATATATAAATTCTTGTATAAAATTAAAATAAAAAGTCATAATTAATCATCATCAACATACCTCCTTATCTAACCATGATGAAACAACGTCTTTAGATCCATCCAACAGTTGATGTGCTGCCTCTTGACTTGCATCATTATCTTCTAGAGAACATTCAGCAGACACAACTGTTTCTAAAGTTTCTCTCTAATAAAAGGATATTAATGTGAAGTATAAAAAGAAAAAATAAGGTCTTACTCTATATTAATAATATTCAATTAATGAATGATAACCTACAAAAGTGTTGGCATACAAAAGGTATCTTGGGTCATCCTTTGAAGATGCCAAATTTAGCATTGAGCCATCATTCACGACGCCAAGTTTTGATCGAGCAAAGTCGTTTAATGCAGTTTTAACTTGATCTATTAATTCTTTAGTAAGAGAATTTATTGTTGACTTGAAATTATTGAAAAGATAATTTTGACGAGCGCGAAGTATAATCTATATGAATGGATAAACATTAATAACAGTGAAAGATGTTTAGAAAGAAATTTCTTGCAAACAAAATGTCTTATCGGCATACCTTGTCATCGATATCAGTAATATTCATTACAAATAAAACATCATAATTAAAATAATCTGAAAGTACACGTCGAATAATATCTATCGTTACATATAATCTAATAAAGAAATTAATTAATCAATTATTCTATAAAAATGTTTAATTTAGAATTAATTCTTATTTTTGATACCTAGCATGACCGATATGTGCATAATCATAAACTGTCGGTCCACAATTGTACCAAGTTATTTGCTTTCCCTTTTTCGGAACAAAATTAATCTACATTCAATGAAAAATTGTTAAGAATGAGAGTAAAAAAAATATTCATAAATTTAAAAATTTCGTAAATTTATTATCTACCTTACTCCTTGTAAGTGAGTTATAAAGTTTAAGAGTAGGCGATGACTCATTATTTTCCGGGACGTGCCATTCTGGTTGACTTTTATTAGACATGGTTGAAAACAAATATTTTCTTTTAAAATTTAAATAAATAAAATTTCGATAAAACTTTTGATTGAATCTCAAGGAGAAATTCATCGAACATCCGATCATCTGCCTGATTATCAAAAATTTTATTTCCGGCCAGAATTAACCCATGACTACTTGTGACAAATAAATGTGTGACAAATAGGAGTTTTGTTAACCGTCTCGTGATAGGATTTCCCCACGTGACCAAAATTACAGATCATCTCTAAAAATGGTAATTCAAATTTTTAACGAAAATTATTTTTTTGTTTTGTTAAATAAAACTTACCACAGACGTTATCTAATCTCGAAACCAATTATTATATTCAATTCTTTACGCTCTGCAAGTTTACTTAGAGTTCAAAAAAGGTTTTAGAATGCCGAATTTTGTTAAATTAATTATTTAGAAACGGTCATATAAATGTTAAAATCTGTATATGTAAACCTATTTTTATTGTCTAAGTAAACTTGTAGATCAGATAAAAATATATATAATATATTAGTTTAAAAGATATATAATATTTACATCAGGTTTTATCTTTATTTTTAGAAAAGATCAATAAATTTGGTCATGTAGGGGTAAAAAAGTGTTGATGATACTGGGCAGAAACCTGAAATTATTCTATTTTTATAATTAATGAATAAATGAAAATTTTATGAATTTTAAATAATTTTATTCTAACATGTGATAACTAACCAATCATTATTGCAGATTTATTGGCTTTATTATGATAAAATTTGTAAGAATTCCATAATAACTGGTAAATTATTAATCATTTTGATCATTTTTAATTAAAATTATTATTATATTACTATTGTAACTTAGATTAACCTGCATTAAAATGTAAGTTGACTAGAATTATCAAATGTTTCTTACTATAATTGGTAATTTTTTATCAAAATAAAATCAAAATTTTTTTCGTTATCATAATAAAAATTTGTAATTTAATATCAGAATAATTCTATATCTCTGATATTAGAATACATGGATTTCCTAATGTAACCACCAAAAAATTATCAGCACATGATCAATTTTTGCTGATCATTTCCAAAAATAGACTATCAAGTTTAATAAAAATTTTCTTTATTTTATTTTTTTAAATAAAATCTAAAAAAGTATTATATGAATTTTAAAATTAAATTCTATATGTAATTTTGACTTCTTTACAAGTTTACTTAATAAGAAAATAGTGATTATAAATACTGTTTTTTAATAGAATTATCTTTTATAAAATTTATTATAAAAGTCAAAAAATGTGTTTAAAACCTCTTTTTTATCTCTAAGCAAAAATTATAGAGCATATAATAATTCTTATAGGTAGTATAATTTTAAATGCTAAAAAAAATTTATGTTTAATTTTTAACAAATATTATTTTTTAAAATAAAATTTATCTAACTATTTTTAGGTATAATCGATAAAATTGATCACGTATAAGTAATTTTTAGTAGTTATACTAGAGAAGTTCCATTTGTAAAAGTAAATTTAGATTAAAAAATTTATTAATTTTGAGATCAATTAAACATAATAGAAAGCGATTTTTAAAAAATATAATTATATATATTATCATATATCATTCATTACCTTATATTATTAATAATTAAATAAAAATTATAAAAATTTATATTTTTTATAATACTTGTTTTATTTACTTATTATTAAAGTAATATATAATATATATTATTATTTTTAAAAATTTATTATTTATATTACTAAATAAATTTTAACATATTAATAATAATAAATATTAAATAAAATTATTTTTTATATAAAGATATTTTATGATAAGATTATGATTCTATCAAATAAAATCTAAAAAAATATTTCTTAAGTATCTTTAATATCTCTATATTATATATTTCTAATCCTTTAACTTTTTAAATATTTTTATATTAACTATATATCTTTAATGAGTAAACTTTATTTTGAATTATAAATTTAAAACTAATTTAAATATTTTTTTATTATTTTTTATACTTTTCTATTTACTTTATAGATATTTTATTGTATAAAGAAAAGAAATTACAAAAAATTTTTTATTTATATATTAAATATTTTTTAGTCTTAATTCAAAAAAATTTTTTTTTAAAAAAAAAATAATAATAAATATATTAATTTTTATTTTATAATTGTTTGAATTTTTATTATATATAAAATTATTAAAATTATTGATATAGAATTTGAAAATAAGTCTTTTATCTTAAAATAATTTAAATAATATTTTAATTTAATTTTAAAAATTAATATATTTAAATAAAATAAATTTTTTTTTTATTTATTTTTAAAAAAAAGTTGTTAAGATATTTATTAAAATAAAATAATTTTTTTTATGATGTAAAAATTTATTTTTTTTTAATAAAAAAACTTATTAATATTAATTAAATAAATATAATATAAAATCTAATTTTATTTTATTTTTCATTTTCTTTAAAATTTAATTTAACAAACTTATATAAATAAAAAAGCAAAAAATTTAAGCTTTAAAGAAAAAATTTTGATAAATTATTAATTAAAGATATATAAAATATAAAATAATTTTAAATAAATATATATAAATTTTTTTTAAAAATATGTTTATTTTATTTATATAAAGTTTTAACAAATATATTAATAAAAATATTAAATAAATTGTGAAATTTAATATTAAGCTTAATACTTTAATATCAAATTAGAAAAAATTGTATAAAGTATAACTTTTAAAAAAACTTTTAAAAAATAAAAAAATTGTTTGATTTATCACAAAAAAAAAATTAATATATATAATATATTAAATCTAAAATCTGATATTTATTATATACTCTCAAAAATAAGCATTTCTCAAAATAAGCATTTCTATGATGTGAATGGTCTAAAGCCACCACTTTTTTATTTTATGACCAAATTCTTTAGCTTATAATACAATCATATGAAATGAATTTTATTGGATAATAATTATATGATTCTCATTATCTATTGTGACCATTTTTTTTATTTCTAATTTTTATTTAAAATTATACATTCATTATATTATCAGAAATTCTTCAATGTAACTATATTTTTTATAACATATAATGCTTTTATGTCTATTAATCCTTTTCTATATAATCTATAAATTTCTAAGATTTACATGTATAATTTCTAATTATTTCTAAAGAAATTGAATTCAATGCCTCAGAAACTGTTTTTTCTAATCCCTTAAAAGAATAATTATAATTATTGCAAATATATTATTTAGCAGTACCTCAAAATATTTTAATAAAATTAAGCTCACAATGAAATTTTAGATAAAAGATAATTTTATGCCTACAATTTTCAATAATTTTCTTAATTAATAGTCTTTAAACTAAAAAGTCTGGTTAAAGTGAAAGTATTTAAACTGCATAACAATCATTTACAGCTGGTGAATATTTTTTGTAGTTAGAATAAATATAATTTATACTTCTTTCTAACTATAATTCACGTTTTTCTAAAACTAAACAAATTTTTTTAGATCTTTTATTTAAAAGATGCATTGACTATATTGACCCATCAAACATTATTCCATTTTTAAATTTTTCTTTACCACCTAGATTAAGATTCATTTTTGATATAATCAAAGCATCTTCTATATATATTATATGAAATATTATATTATCAAATGCAAATATACTAATTTTATCAAAATGCAATTTTTCAAAAATCAGATTGCTTTTTTAGTAATCTAATTATAAAGTAATTTAAATTTAAATTATTTTTTTAAAATAATAAATGAAAAAATATATACCTATTTAACTAAATTCTTATTTTTCACTATTTATCACGATTAATACCTGGTTTTATCATAATATATACTTTATCTTGTTCAAATTTTAATTAACCATCAATCTCTATTAAAAAATTACTAATATATAAACTTAAACCTATACCTTTTTTACAAAGAAGCTGATGTTTAACAGATTCTCAAAAAGTTTTTTTACCATCATTAGCATAAAATACTGATTCATTATAAGTTATTAAGATATATTTTTATTATCTTCATTTAGAATAGGCTCTATTAATATCATCATTTGATAGTTTTGATATCCATTGTTCTAATTATACCATCTCAGCTAAAAATTCTTGTCAATATTTAAGCACATCAGATCATTTATAACTATCATAATAAATATTTTACTTCTTATACGAAATGTCTATCCAAAATGTTTTAATCATACTCATGCAATAATATTTAAAATTGATTTTTTATTTTCAATTCTAACACTTAGAAAAACTTCTTATTTAATATATGCTTTGAATTTGTTTACATTTATATTATAACTAATACTCCAAAGATATTCAGTAATCATTTAATAAATATCTTATTACCTAATAAACTTTAATTTTTTAATATTTACTACATATTGATATTAAAATTGAATGATTATAATAAAATTTTATGTCTATGCTCTAATTAAATGCAACTTATTATTTTCCTTTTTCAATATTAATTGCAATTATTTTACTTGCTTCTATACATTTATAATTAGCTAATCTTAAGTTAATATATTGAAAAATAAGTTATAATCAATTTTTAACTTGAGAAATCAATAATTTGTTCTTAATCAATATATTTAATTCATCTAATACTTAATTAATCCTTCTCTTTCTATTATTTTTTTAAGATTGATTAAATAATTAGCTATAGTATTAATTTGATCATTTGATAAAGTAGATATTGTATTAAAGTATTTGGTAATATTAGAAAAGTCTTTACTTGCTAATTTTAAAACTACTTTTTTTTTACCTTTGAGTTCTATTAGAATTTTTATAATAAGTTAATAAATACATACTATTAAAAATAACAGAATTCTTTGCATTTTGACATATAATATCAAATGCAGATAATGTAATTTTATCTATAGTATCTTCAAAATTATCATTATTCCAAATATTATCTTTCTCTAAACTATAAATAATTTATTATCTGATAATAATATATTTTTCTTAACTGCCTTTAGTTTTAATTGTTTATATTCTCATGCAACTACTAGT